ATATATATAATTTTTTTTTTTTAGAAATCATTATTTACATAGTTTGGTCTCAGCTCCAATTGTAGTGCAGATTTCGTGCCCCAGCAAATGTACGAGATCGAGCTGAGTGCACAACAAGAAATCCGATTAACCATTCTTAACAAACATTCTTAACATGCCCAGTTATTTATACGATAAATGTTTAAACTTTAAAGTTAATATGCACAATAAATACATAGCATAGAGTTACGAGTTAGACCGATAACAAATAACGAACTGTCTTTGGAAGCGAGCTTGCGGAAGTGCGGCAGCATCTAGAGGCGCCAGAGACGACTGCTGTTGCCGCCGGCGGCGCCTTCGGCCTCGCCGCGCAGCTTGTTGTCGTCTGTGCGCCAGACGAACGGCTCCAGCCGATCGTCGTCGTCCAGGAAGTTATTAATCGCTTCCAGGCTGGCGATATTCTCGTGCAGCAGCGAATTGCAGCGGCTCAGCTGCTGCGAGACGCCGCGTATCTTAGCGAACTGTTCCGCATACGAGGCGTACGTCTTCTGCATATCGACGAAGCTGGCGAAGAGTGTGGTGATCGAGTTGCTGACCACCTTAGTGCGTTCCACGAGGTGATTTTGCTCGCTGGCCACATGGCTAGCGCACAGATTCAAATGGGTCTGCATGCGGCTGCATATATTCAGCAGATGCTGCGAATTCAAGCGCTCCAGAATTTCGGGATCTCGTGTGTATGTCGCCGAGCTGATCGACTCCCGCAGCACGGGCAGGAACTGAGGTATGTTGCGCAGGCGCAGCAGATCCGGGTCAATGTCGTCATTGATGTCCCGTGTGCCCGGCTTGACGATCACGATATTGTGACTGGAAGCCGTCGACTGCGGCCGCTTTGGCTTGATGGTTGTGGTAATGCTGCCAGGATGTGACTTGCGTGCGGCGGCCCGACTGGCACTGCTCTGCTGCAGCATATGGGCTGGTCGGTTGCGTATCTTGGGCGAGTCGCCGATGGGCCGATCCGTATAGGAGACATACGGCAGATCTGAGCACACGCTTAGCAACGGTGAAGGCGGTCGGCTTAGCTCGGAGCTTGTGGGCGATGCGGTGTCCGAAATGATTTGCTTGCTGGCAATCACGATGCTAGCTGGTCCATTGCTAGCTCCATGCGGTAACGCAGAAGGCTGCTGTTGCAGGAGCTGCTGCTGGTGTTGTTGTTGCTGCTGTTGTCTCTGATGTACGGCGCCGCCCCTGCGTTTGTTTGTGGCTGCCGTCGCAGCCGCCGTCAGTGCCATGGCGCTGCCATCGCTCATTCGAACAGCTGCGGGATTGCTGGAGGATTGGGCCATGCTACTGACCCCAGCTGGATCGCGTCTCTCGAAGATCTCATGGCCGTCAGCCTCGACGCGCTGCTGCGAGTGCTCCGCACCCATTGCGCTTCAGCGGTATGCTCTAAATATATTGATTTTATTTCCACAGCGACATTATTATCCCTCATACAGACGTGGGGTATTTATTCTGTGTTTTCTTACCAGCTTTTTCTATGCAATTTTACAGAATTCGTTCGATCTCTCTCGTTTGTAAATATAAAAACAGCTCTCTCTCGTGTGGAAATTTGTTTTTCTTTTTGTTTCCTTTTTGTCTTTATTTTTCCCGTTTTAGTTATTCATATCGAAAGTATCGATATTTTCAACGCAGTGAATGTTCGATATATCGAACAATTTTAGCTTGAGCTTTGTTGTTTTGAATTGCTGTTTGAAATTAGTAAGCTGTTACTTTTGCCGCTCACGTAGCGGTATTACTTTTCAAGGCCCAATAAATAAGTTAGTTTATTTTTATAATATCAGAAGCATTGATTAGTAATTTATAAAAATAAATCAAAAATACATGCACACAATTATAAATAAATAGATCGTTTTATGTAAATAATTAATTATTGATAATATAATTGTTGATTATTATAGTMWTTAATATAARCTTGACGATTTTATTTAWCATATATAATAAGAAAAACAATCATAATTAATTCATAATGGCCAGTTTTTATGGCATGTGATAATGCAAAAAAAAAAAAAAAAAAAAAAAAAAAAAAAAAAAAAATTAAATAGTCTTGCCGATTAATACAGCTTTCAAGCTCGCTGCGCGAATGGCTTTGGGGATGGTATAGATTTAGTATTATCACTGACCAGTGGTATTATTGAGTAATTAGTTGAAATCGATAAATGGAATTATGAATCTAACTGCCACTAGCAAAAATCCTTCTGTTTGAAGGGAACTGTCGAACGAGTAAGTACGGGAAGGCGAAAATTAATCAAATTTCCAATTTCCGTGTTGAAATCATAAATCAAGAAATTTGTCAAGAAAATATATTTGTGCAGCGCACTATCGAATCAAGTATGTAGACCAATATGCTATTGCATTCTTTTTTAATATGAAATTTAACATTTTGCCCCAAAAAAACCAAAAACACAAACCAAACCTCACGTGTAGCTAAATTTCAAGGAAAAACAGTGTTAAACTTAGTGACTGCCATGAATGAGAACAATCCACAAGCGCCGACTCAGCTACTGGCTAACGGAGTCAATCTCTTGCAACTGCAAGCCCTCAAATGGCTATACGCTCAGGCCCAGCAAAAGATTGCAAGTGGTGTTAATATGCCGGGAATAGCCCAATCCAGTGGTCAGGTGCCACCAACTAATTCCGTTCAGTCGAATCTGAACAATTGGCTCTCGGCCAACCAAGCCGGCGTTGGRGCCCAGCAGCAGCAGCAACAACAGCCGCTTTATAATAACTTGAGCCAATGGGGTACCGACGGTATCAAGCAACTCTACAATCATGCGCAGAGCGCCAACCAGAGCAACCTCCCACTCAGCTTTGGGCAGTCGCAGGATAGCATGCCATTTAACTTTGGGCAGTCGCAGCCGCTGCAGAATAGCTTCCAATTTAACTTTGGGCAGTCGCAGTCGGAGCAGTACCCTAATACCAACACCTTGTATAATATTTGGCAGTCACAGCCGCAGTCGCAGCCGCAGCCACAGTCGACGCTGTCGCCGCTGTTGTCGCAGCCGCAGTCGCAATTGTTGCCGCTGCCGCAGCCGCAGTCGCAATTGTTGCCGCTGCCGCAGCCGCAGTCGAAGTCGCAGCTGTTGCCACAGCCGCAGTCGCAGCAAATGCCGCAGCCGCAGTCGCAACTGCTGCCGCAGCCGCAGTCGCAGTCGCAACTGTTGCCGCAGCCGCAGCCGCCGAAGTCGCCGCAACAGCAGCAGAATTTCATGGGCCTTGTGCCGCAGCAGCAGCCGTTTAGCCGATATCAGGATCAATCCGAGTCGTATTATCCGTACGGGCAAGCTCCATATTTAGGCTATATGGGAAATGGGCCAAGCATGGGCTATATGTCGCCAGGGCCGCAGCAGCAGGGTTTTTACCCAGGAACGTCTGACTATAGCTATATGCCTTCGACATATGATCAGGCCTATTGCGATCAGCAGGCCAATCCGAATTCGATGCCTATTGGCGACTGCCCAATGCAGCCACGGCATGTCTATGTGAACGGCGCACTCTATAACACGGAGCTGGTCGAACCACCCGTGGACTTTGGCAGACCACCGCCACCATTCGAGCCAAACAATTCGTTATTGGAGACCGAAGAGGATTCCTATGATCCGATGGATGCTGTAAGTGTTTAATTCCTGATCGACTTGGATTCTTTTCTATGTCCGTATTCCGCAGGTGATGCCGTCGATCTATGGCATACGCTTCTATAATCCAAATAATGGACCAGATGGCGCTATTCCGCCGCGTGTCCCGAGGAAGAGGAAGTACAGTCACAACATGTACATGAACTCCTGGCATCCACCGAAGGCAGCCAACTACTTTGGCCAAGGCATGCCGTGGTATAACAACGCCTATCCACCATACCCATATCACAACCTACCCACTGGCGGCAACTTCCCCAACTACACTTACGACAACTCCGAGGGCGCCGCCCACAACAACAATCGCAGCCAGCTGTCGCTGGAGATGCCGATGAGGGCAGATGCTGGGGCCAACGCCGGTGGCAGTGCCAGCGCTGGCGCAACTCCCCAAAACTTTATACCGACATTGTCGCCGAACTCGAAGGCAAAGCGTCGTCAGGGCCGCAATCGTCCACGCGGCTACATCCAATCGTTCGGCATAGTTGCCCCACTCAAGCACAACAATAATGGGGCCAAGAGCAGCGCCGGCGATGCCAAAACCAATGTCCCGGCCGCAGCCGAGAAGAAGTCGCCAGCCAAAAAAGCGGATAACTCTGGCTCAAGCGACCTCGCTATAAAGTGGCCTTTGCTCGTGGAGAGCAACAAGCCCAACCAGAAATCCTAAGCGAAACGCAGCTATTTTTTTTAAAGCCAGACAAGGAAAATGGATTTTCTTGATCTGATATTATTTCATTATTTGAGAATCACTGAAAATTTAAACAAAATGTCAAAACTATTCACTAGTACAACTAACCAAACAAAATGAAATCAAAAATAAACGTCATCTAAACAGAAAACAAATCATTTCAATTCCACCTTACCGAAAGGCACTGACCTATCATAACGAATTCTTGAGAAAGAAAACACATTGGACCTAGATTTTGTGACTGAGAAATTTGTTTTTAAATAGGTCTGGTAGTCTGATAAGAAATGCGGTTTTCGGGATCTTTAAAAAAATATTGGACAATAAGTTTTCACCACTAAAGAAGCGTGCGTTAGTCTTAAAATATTTGGATTTTTGTGATAATTGGGAAGATAACATTGGCTTTCAATCGGATATTTTTAAATTTTTGTTTTTTGTATTGCTACTGAGATATCTGCTATTGATATTGCAATTTACAAGTTTTGAGGTATATACATTTTGTAGACTTTCTTAAGATTATCCAAATGTTTTTGCTATGGCAAAGCGCTTGATAGCCTTGAAAGATATGTAGAACAGATTTAGATAGATAGTTTGTAGAGGTAGCTATACAAATATGTCATATCTTATTGACAAAGCAAAATATCTACAGTGGAAAGAAAAATCCCCTTCTCTAGTTACAATTATGGCATATTTTTGAAAAACCTATCAATTAATTTTTGCAGTATTAGAAATGTATCCGAATTCTTCTGGAATTTAGGCCGACTCATAAAATATACATCTAAGACTTTCGAATTCAGCAATTTATAGTCTGATTAACGCCCTTTTGATGTGAGTTACAGAGGCACTGTGAACTGATTCACGATTAGTCCGATTTCAAAGCCTATCCATTCTAGTTTAGAAAATATGCTCGTTTATTGATTGATGCTTAAATGTAAAATTAGTTTGTTGTTTTCCGTTTTCGAAGTTTTTGGTCGAATGTCCTTCTCCAATGACTTAGATCTCATGACGCTGGCCGTGGTATGAGATCTGTTTCTGGGCGGGGGCGCGCTTGCCGAAGGGGCTCTTTGCGTTGACCTCCAACATGTAATCGCCCTGCAGGTCGTAGTCGACATCGATGCCCATGTAGGCGCGCTTGCCGAAGCCGTCGTTCTGCTTGTACTGCTTCAGTGATTTGGCGGCGACGGCGGGGAAGTTGCGCTCGCAGCCGGGACGCACCGACTCGGCAAAGTAGCGTGTGGCGCGCACGACAGCCTCGATGACGTTCTCGGAGCCGGGTGTACCCTGGCTGGGTCCATTGGGATAGAAGTCAACGTCGCCGCAACGCATGGACGTGCCCATGCCCAGGCTGGAGGTGTGGATGACGTCGACGAAATCGGCATCGCCACGGGAAAGACCGACGAGGTAGTCACGACGCTTGGCCAGCATCTTGGAGGGATCCAGACCAGTGATGCGACGCAGCTTGTGGCCGGTGTGGCCAGTGTACTCCTGTCCGGCAGCTCCAGCAACATGAGCGCTAATGCCCTGTCCGATCAAATGGATAATCTCCTGGGGCACACCCTTGTTGGTCAGTTCGATCAGGGTGTGGCCAACCATGGCACCGGTGGCGGGCACATCAAGCAGGGCGTAACGCTGGAAGGTGGTCAACGTGTTGCCCAAGTCGATGATCTGCCCAATGGAAGGGAGTAAGTGACGCAATTCATATATATTTATATTCGAACAGTGATGCACTCACGATCAAGTCGCCAGAAATGGTTTGGGCATTCTTCCACTCATCGGCTGTTTCCTCGCTGGAGGTCGACTCGTATTCAGTGCTCTTGTGCTGCTGGTGGAGAGCGTGCTTCTGCTGCTCCTGCAGATTGTAACGCTGCAGGTAGGCTTGCTCCAGCTTCTGCATGGCCTTCTTGATGGTGGGCGTGGTCTGGGGCAGGCCAGTTAGCACAATGGTGACCTCATCCTGGCCGAAGCCGGGCTGGGCAAAAGCCTTCTCCACATAGTTGCTCAGTTTGGCATCCACACGATCGCCATTGGACTTGATGATCCTCACTGGAATGTTACTGGCGCTGGGCACAAAGCTGGGCGTCAGCTCGTTGTTGATTTGGGCGATGTGATCTAGATGGATGGATGTGTTTGCCTCAAATTAGCAACGTCTTACAACCTATGCACTTCATGGACACTTACACATCTTCTCCACCAGCTGAGCGCCTTTTTGCAGGGGCATACTCTCCAGCCGCTGGAACGAGACGTCGTTCAAGGATGGCGTAGTTTCCAGCTCATTGGCGCTCAGCCAGTTGGTGGGCTTCAGCTCGCTCTTGGAGGCACAAGCGGCCGCAACCAGGCATGCCAGCAGGCACAGTCTCAGGCTCATATTGTAGGGCGTATCGGGCTAACTCAGAGATGAATGGTGTCCAAACGTTGATCGGCGTCTGATAGGTGTTGCCCTTCAACGTTCGCTTTTTATAGCTGTGGACGCTTAAGCTGCGCTTACGTCGCAGGAAGTTGCCGCCGTTATCAATTTTATTTTATTTTTGTGCTTTAGTTTTTTGCACTTTTCCATTTTTGCTGATCTTGGCAAGCGTGTGTGTCGCAAACGTCTCACCTAGACCAAAAAAAACTGTTTGAGTGTGCAATCAAACAACAACAGGGGCCATCGATTGCTTATCGCGGTTACCTTGGCAACCCATATTTAGGTTTTTGAACCCGCTAATCCAATCTGATTGTGCCCGATCTGCCCACTGATTACAAATTGCAACGCCGCTTCCTGCAACAAAGTTGTACAAAGTTGTCTTTTCAATTTCCATTTAAATGCAAAAAGTGTGACCATATAATGACAATGCAACGGCATTTCGGCAACGACGTTTCAGTCGATTAACGAGCTGGTTATCGATGTAAGTGCCACACTTAAATTTTAATTTTTCGCTTTAAAATGTAGAGTGAAATAATATACCTTTATCTTTCGCAATCTGGTTTATTTTATTTATAANCTTTTGATAACAGAGGCTTTTTCCGCGCTACTCTCGAACTGTACTCATGGCTCATGAGGGCTTTGCGTACCGTTTCATGTGAGACATCTATGCCACATTCTTGCTTCAGCTCTTTAGCAAGACATCTTACAGAAATATGCGGATTAGCGTTCACTTTTCTGAGAATAAGACGCTCTACTCGTCCAGTGATCTTTTTTTTCGGCCCTCCTCCCGTCTTTAAAAGCAGCCTATTTTCTTTTTCGGCCCGGTTTATAACGTTATAAACCGTTCTCCTGGGCACAGAAAACATGTCCATCAATTCTGGAACGGATTTGCCCATCTCGTGGTTGTAATAGATGAGCTGCACCATCTCAAAGCTTAATCGCTTTCCAGGCATTTTAAAAAAATATGAAATTTGTGCTTAAATGCGTAACTAGCGAAAATTGACAATCAAATGGCAAGAAATGTAAAAGAAAACGTTCATAGATGCATAAAATATCAACAGATAACAGTAAAATACCGTTACTTCTAAGAATTAGAGCAAAGCAGATGTGCAAAGCGCTCAGTGCCAACACATTATTGACACTGTTATTTATGAGTATTCTTTGTTTTCGTTGATTTTTTATTTAACATATTGAATGTTATGCTTTCTATTTTTATATTTAAATTAATGAAATAATATTAAACATATTCCTATTTGAAAAAAATAATTTTTATGCATTATTGACTTAGATATTTGCATCCAAAGTCAACAAATTCAATTTTTTTTCAGTGTGCCAACTCATTCTTGACAGACTGTACATGCATATGTATTTCAATAAATATTGTTTAAATTGCATAACATATAAAAATAAATTTTAAGCAATTTTATGTTACAAAAGCATTTACAGGAAATACCAATGCTGATGAAATTTTTTTAATTCTGCAATTCGAACTTTTTTTGCGCTAATTTCATAATTTCATAATTATAGACATCGGTATTCATACATATATGTACACATATTATATAAATGTATTTATTTATCTGTATCTAAATGATTATAAAAAAAAATTACAGAACACGTTTGCTTATGTTCGTGTAGCCAATGCCCACGCAGGTGAGAAGCACTTTTTGTGCGCCGCGCACATCGTCCTCGCCATCGTCATCCGCCTCGGGATTCTCCAGCTTGAATGTGATTGAGAAGAAGTCACGCAGATGCTGTAGAAAATGCACCGTGTATGTGGAGAGTGGACCTGAAATACGGGCGGAGTGACGGAGTGTTAGTCGAGTAATAGGCATTGATGAAAATGGCATTGCGGCACCTGTTTGGAATTTGGAGACGTGCTTCTGCCCGAGCGCCATATAGAGAGCGGCCAGCCATTGGTAGGCAGAATCACAGCAGCCGCCGCGATAGATTTCGTCTAACAGACGCATGGCGACTTCTCGCCCCAAGTCTTCTGGTATAGATGGCGTCTCCTGCAGAGCAAATCAAATGTTATTTAATTGTAAGTGGGAATTCCAAGTGTGAGCATTTACCGATTCCTCTCTAGTGTTGGAGATGCAATCAGCAGCGAAGCAGACGCCGTCTGTGGTCTCGGCCAGAAGACAAATGCCGAAACCAGGCGAGTTGCCTGACAGTTTGCCACGATTTTGATCCGTGTAGATGTAGACGTCGGGCAGGAACTTCAGCATGCAGCCCTTGGCCGCCTCCACGGTACGGTTGGCCATCGCCGGGGAAACCTTGCAGGCGTAGACAGTGCCGCGGATACGCTTCACCATGCCCTGCTCTTGAAACTGTATGGCTCGAAGGCTTTTGCGCACAGGACAGCTGAAGAAGACCTCACCGCCGCCAAGGGGCGCGACGCCGCGACGCACGACGCGCAGCTCCAGACCCTCGTCAACCAGGAGGAAGCGTTTCAGCAGCGACAGGGCACCTCCTTTGATATGATCCACCGACGGCGAGTCCCTGCTGTTTGTCACGCCACGCAGCGTGCACTGGAGCGGGAACTTGCAGAACGGACCCAGTGCAATCAGTGCATCCAAAAAGTATCCGATACCACGCTGCACGCAGCAATCGTGCTGCAGCGCACCGCCATGCAGCAGACCGGGACTGAACATGACA